TCCTTCTATAAGACTGAGTGATACAAGATTGGTTCACACCTCATGTTGTGATTCAAGAACCTCTGACTTCTTTTTCTCCAACTAGCATCTGAATGTGTTTTGGTTCCCACCAGCATAATGTGAGGATGTGATGGGACTTACCAACCCTGTGCATCAGGGCTCCTTCCATTCACTCACCTGTACCCCCCTTCTCAATGTTCCTCATTCCAGCATAAGGAGGGCAGGGTGTCTCCATTGCTGCCATAAATTCTTGTTTCTCTGAGCTACAATTTGTCACTTCTTTATAGAAAATGAGAATCTAAAGATGAATTTGTTTACTCAAATTTCTGCCCAGAGGTAGAGTCAGTGGTTTAACCAAAAGAGAATAAAATCTAAACATTCAAATTCTGAGAGCATTCCAGGGTGGGGGAAATGCTATTAATAATGGTGCAAAAATATCTAGGGATATGGAAAATCAATAACTTATATGCATCAAAATATAAGATGTAAGTATATCAGAATATTTGGAAAATGTATTATACCATAGTTTTCTCTCTATAATTTTTATCACATATATCAATAGAGTGGGGCTATGAATTAAAAATAAACTGCTATTCATTCAGTAAAAGGCTAAGTTCCAGAAGCTGTAATCTCACTCCAACACAAGCCTTTAAAAAATAGGATGGTTTCCTCAAATGCCTATGAAGTGTCTATTTGAAATCTTTTCTCCTCACTTCTAAAAATACCTGATGGATGATGTCAATATGCCCAAATACAACATTTCTAGTCTCCAGGTATGATGCTAAGAGCATGTGCTATTGGCTCTTGCCATTAAAAAAAAAAGTCTAGAACTCTGCCTTTTTCATCCCAGTTCAAGAAAGCACATTATGAAGCAAAAGTCATAGATGATAGTGTAGCCGCATCCCAACATTTATATTGATAAAAACAAGCCAGTAGTTCCAAATGCCAGCACTGTCATTCTTATCAGAAACAAATGTATTTCCGCAGGTTTGTGCAGCTGAGGAGAGCCTTAGGAAGTCAAATATTCATCCAGAAATCCGAATAGTAAGCCTCATACATAAGAAAGTTGGTCAGCCACTTAGCTTCAAGGTTCCCACCAGTCCTGTACTTCCTCTGTACAAGAAAAGTGGTTCATCATTCTCCCTCAGACATGCAGCTGGGTTCAGCTCCCTCTACGAGACCATGAGGACATTCAAATCCACTGCAAAGAAACTGATGGGGAGAAGTCCAGTAACACTACGCACCAAGAGCAGCTGTGGTCTATTCACCTTCATCCTATAACAGATCTGTTCCCCATTTCTCTTCATATGATACTTAAACCTGCTTGAGATAATCTAAATGTAAGTTAATGAAACATTAATCATCCAAATATCTCCTAGGAGAGTTGCATCTGTAGATGCAGTTGCCAGTTATGTGTATAAAAAATAATGATCAAATGACCCTTATCTCTTTCGTATTCTTCAGTGTAATTTGTTCCCCAAAATTTATTTTCCATAAAATGCTTTCATAGCTTTTCCTCTAAAATGAAATTGTAGTAAGCTATGGTAAGTGGTGAAAAGATACTCTAAACTGTCTGTGTAAAGCACAGACTTGAAAAATCCTAAACAGCATAAAATCCATTACCAGGAAAAGTCAATTCCTATCTAAGAATTAAAAATCTAATTAAACTAAATCATATACTAGACCATCTATCAAAAGTACTCACTTGTTATCTATAATATATGACGTATAATTCCCCTATAATTCTAAGATTCTAATCAGAGCTCAGTGTTCCTTTAAGAAGTTTATGAACATGATAGTTGAGATCATCTTGGGCATTGGTATCAAATAGACCAAAATCTTACCAGCTGACCAAGATCTTACCAGCTGTATGAACGTGGGTAAGCTGTTAATCCTCTCTACATTGGTATTTCATCTGGAAAATGAGAGAGCTTCTAGCACTTCACATGGTTGATGGAAATACAGATAAGATAGTGCACACAAAGCTCTGAGCACAAAGCACATAAGAAGTCCTCAAGGGATATCCACTGGTCTCAGAAGCATAAGTCTCGAAAAAATCCAGTGAGTGTCTTTTTCACTTTGTTTCACCTAACCACTTTCTGGCAAACCTAAAAACCTCCGTGGCAGAAATTCCTAGCATTTCCTCATATCACTTAAGAAGCCCTGGTGGCCTAGTGGTAAGAAACAGCACTGCAATTCCAAAAGCACACAGTTTGAATCTAGCAGCTGCTCTATGGGATAGAGAATGAAGGGCAGTTTCTTCCCATATGATTAACTGCCCCTGAAAACCCAGTGGTGGGTCAGTTATGGGTCAGTTCCAACTCAAAGACATATATGAACAACGACAAAAACCTCAGTGGCAGAAATTCCTAATGATCTCCCATATCTCTCCCTTCTCTCCTCCCTAAAAAGAAGACTGTACCAACTTGCACAACTGTCACATCCAGTCAAAGGTATTGAAGCAATGTGCCATCTCCATGCACTGTCTTCCCCTGCCATAATAACTCTTGGCACCAAGATGCAGGAAACCTGGATCCCTGAGTTTGCTTCATGGAGGAGAGCTTCCCTGATGAGCCAGCTGACCTGCTTTAGGCTTTAAGTAGGAAATAAACCTCTGATGTGTCAAGCTGTGGAGATCTGAGGATTGTTTAATGTAGCAGAACCTACCCTGACAAAGAAAACACTCATACTTCAAATATTCTAATATAACTTGGGTTTTGTCAATCTTTATTTTCTTTTGTTGTGAAAAAGAGGATTATAGTACAAGTGAACTTAAATAAATGTATATTCACCTGCATTAAACATACAAACTAATAATGAAGCTTTCACGGAGTCATATGTCACTTAGTTGCGTGTCAACCACAGTGTCCAAAGCACCAGGGATCACAGCAAGTTCTACGAGAATGAAGAGATAACTGGGGCACCTCCCAATATTCACGTGCTTCTAGTGTTTGGTAGCAGAACAGTGCAGGGAATTATGGATCTTACTTAAACCGAGTTAAATCTAAGGAAATGAGTAAGCAATTTAAAACATGTTTAGCAAGAGCAAGAAGATTTTTGTGTCATTAAAAACTACCCAAATATATCATTTATCTCTTCCATCATTAAGCTATATCTTTGTGAAAAGTTATATAACACAAGTTGTCACAGTACATTGTGTAATTTATTTTAAAAGATTTTATATATATTTCCTCTTATTGTTGTTGATTGCCGTCGAGTCAAGCACACTCATAGCACTCATAACACTATGAACAAAGGGCCCGAAGCCTTTCTGTAACAATCATCGCTTATCAAAACTCATAGTTTTCAGAGGCATGTTGTTTAGGAAGTGGATAGCATTCCTGCTTCCAAACACACACACACACACACGAGCATCTATAATTTAAAAATTTTTAATGACAAAAGCATAACATAGAAATAATTTGGAGGCTGAAAGTTTAAAGAACAGCTTTCAAATTATCTGTCACTTTGTGTATCATTCCTATATTCCAAAATATTTCAAAGGAAGGAGAGAAATGCACAAAGTCAGGGAGAAAAAGGAAAAATAACAGTGAACTGCATTAATTTTATTTGGAAAAGAAGAACAAAGCTTTCTGTCTCAACCAAAAACCACATTTCCACATCTGAAAACCAATGGTTCTGTCAGATAATCAAAGGGATAAGATGATTATTTTATATGAAAAGAAGGAAAGCAAGAGCAAATTCTAAATACAGGTCACACGTGCTTCTATGGGCACTTGGCCTCCAAAGGTGTGGCAGCCAGAAAACAGATGAGCTGATCAGCAGATGACCCCAAGGAAGACTGAGCGCTTTATTAGAACAACATCAAGACTAATTATCATAGAATTACCAATTAAGCCCAAACTAGAGTTTCTAAGAAGGTTAAATGATATATGGGAAACTTTCAGAAAATGACTCAGCACCCTCTACTTTCCTATTCTCCTCATTTGCTAAATACAACTAAGAGGGAAAGCTGGGATTTAAGGTCCATTTGAATTCAAAATATTTATGAAAATAATAGCCCGTGTATACAGTGGGCCTCACAGAACAGGTAGGATGTGAACATGGAAACTGGTTGTAATTAGAAGGAAATTGAAGTGGAGGGACCTGGGGATAGAGGTTGAGGCTGTTAGGAAGGCCGTTAGTGAATGGAAGAGTAAGAACAAAGACATGGAGTGAGAAACCGTGAACACAGGCAGCAGAAGTTATTGGGTAGTGGTACAAGTAGCACAGGAAACAGAAGTTGTAAGGGGACAACATCAGCTCAGGCTGTCCTGGAAGGTGTTTACAGACTGAGCCAAGGAAATAACTTTATTAAGGAGGTACTGCAGAATTACAGAAGACTTAAGAAAAACAATGGTGTGATATCAAGTAGACACTGGGAAACTAATCTTTCTATAACATTGAGGATGTATCAAAGAAGAATAAAAACATCTTTGCTCATTACAGCTGTTGTACATAATTAATACTAAAAGAATGAAGGCAAGAAGACTAGGTTACATTTTACTGTATAAACTTAAAATTATATGAAACCCTTTCTACTCAATCCCTTTAATACTGTTCAATTTAGCACTTAGGAAACTTAACTCCTTCTACAATTCTAGAGGGAAATACTTCCAAGAGTGTTTTTTTTTTAAAAAGAAAAATCAATTCACCAGTCTAATATGACCCTCAATGCTGCTGTTAAAGTTTTTAGTCTTGCAAAAATGAACAATCCTCTTCTATTCTGAGGGAAGTACGTCTGAACTTGTCCTGCCAGTGCTGAAAAAGAAAACAAAATTAACCAAGTACAAAAGTGAGGCAATACCACATCCTCAACAGAGTTACCGGGAAGGTTAAAACTTCACACCCCTACGCTGCTTCTGGCATCAAGTAAGATGTCATAACCTTCTCAGAGACGCCAGACTTGCTTCTACACAGGTCGTGCTGCCATCATCTGCAAAGCATCAACTGCTCAGTGAGAAATAAAGGCTAGCAAACAGAGATGAGTCAGAACCTACCTGATTTTCTTCATGGGAGACCCTCATCTGCTCCTTGAGGACAGACATTCGGGCTGCCTCTTCTTTCCTCAACACTCGCTCCTTCTTGAGCTCAGGACTCCAGAAGGTCTTGATGCTGTTCATGGAAGAGCCTAACTTGCTATCCTTGATGTCTAGCTCTTTCCGGAGGAGGTCGTTCTCTCGCTGAAGCTCCTTGAGCTGAGCCTGAAGATCTAACATTGTGCCATCCCTTACCTGCCTGAGCATGGAGGGGACCTGGTGGTGACGATGATGGGATGAGGTGGTCAGGCCGCCATGTTGATCCGTGTATGAAAGGACATCCGTGTGGGAAAGTCCAGCTGAAGCAATATTCGGACTGCTCCCCATGGCTGTGACTCGGCCCCCATACACAGCTCGATTTGTGGCCCTTCCCAGAGTCATGGTGCCCTTCGGGTAAGTCGTTGAAGCCACCCCCTCATGGTCACTCAGGTACATAGGTCCAGACGTAGCATAGGCTGCATTAAGGGACTGGATATTCTCCATGGACAAAGTCTTGCCTGTTCCTCCACCGCCCCCACTACTTGTTCTTCGGTGGCCCAAACGAGGGGACCTTGGCAAACGAGGGGATCTGGAAGGGCTCCCCTCCAGATTAGTGATTGTTCTTGCACTTCCATACATTTTTCTTATACTATGAGGCGCTACTGAAGAGAAGAAATGCTATCACTAAACTGGTGATTAAACCAGTATTTCCACTGTTGGACAGGATTTTCACTGCATTCTTTTCATGGTCTGTACAAGGAAATGGCTTCAATCAGGGATCTGCAAAACAAGAAGAGAGATAATTAAAATGAAGCTTCTTTAGAACCACTTAACAGCTATTATGTTTTAAAATATATATAGGTTGATAAAGGGAAATCAAATCATGACCATGAAGAATATTTTAAAAGAAAATTTAAGTAAATTTTCACTTACTATATATGAATTTGTTCTAAAGCATGCTATGAATGCCCCTAACCAAGGTCAAAAGTTCAAAGAGCAAAAGGAAAAAGAAATGCCATCTTTTCCTTCCTAAAATGAATCCAGTTGAGAGTTAGGATCTCAAAAAAATTCACTGTTGAATTCCCCATCATGAAAACCTTAGCTGAAAGTAATTCATCTTGAGAGGGTACAATTCCTCATGTATCTTAGGCTAGACAATGACTTTTAAAAGCTGTTGCATCCTAGAATGTCATGTACTTGGCTCACACACTGTGACTTCTCCCTCCTATACCGATCATGGACAGCACTAGTGTGCCACATGGGATGAAGCAAGTAGAAAGAGAGGTAGCCTAACCAACACAAGTGCTATGCATATAGTCAGATCCTAAATTACACCACCAGAAAAGTGATAGTCCTATTTTTCTTCCCATCTATTATGAATGGAATTATGTTTCCCTAAAATATGTGACATCCTTGTTTGCAGAAAGTGAGGAGGACTGGAAACACTTGTTGCAAAAGATCAATGACTACTGTCTTCAATATGGATTATATCTCAACATCAAGAAAACAAAATTCCTCAGCACTGGACTGATTGGGAACAACATGGTAGATGGAGAAAAGATTGACGCTTTCAACTATTTCATTTTACTGGGATCCACAGTTAATAATTATCATGGTAAGAACAGTCAAGAAATCAAAAGATGTGGTGCATTGGGAAAATGTGCTGTGAAGGACCTCACTACAGTTCTAAAGAGCAAGGATATATATCAGTTTAAAGAATAAGATGCACCCGATTGAAGCCATGGTATTTTCAATTACTTCCTACATTGAAAAGTTGGACTATGAATAAGGAAGACCAAAGAAGAATCAATGCCTTTGAGTTGTGGTGAGGTAAAGAGTAGTGAATAAACTATACACTGTCAAAAGAACAAACAGATTTATCTTGGAAGAAGTAAAACCATAGTGTTCTTAGAAGCAAGAATGGTGAAACTTCACCTCAGCTACTTTGGATATGTTATCAGGAGAGGCCAGTCCTTAGAAAAAAGAAATGATGCTAGAAAAAGTAGAGAGAAGGTGAGTGAAGGAAAGGAAGATCCTCAGGGAGATGGGTTGACACAGGACTGTAATAATGGGCTTGAGAATACTGGAGATGGTGATGATGGTACAGGACAAGGCAAGGCTCTGATCTGATATCCATGGGGTGCTGTTGACTCAACGGCACCTACCAACAGCAAAATATGTATTGCAATCTTAACCCATATATGAATGGATGCAATCCTGTTTGGAAAGTGAATTTTCCTTGTTACGTTAATGAGGCCACTCTAGCATTGGATATGTCTTGAACCTAATGATGTTTGAGCTATAAAATGAGTAGAACTGACACAGAGACACAGACACAGAAGACAGACACAATCTGGCAACAGGGGTAGTTGTAATGCAAGAATGCCAATGCACAGAAGCTGAACCTAGAACAGGGCTTCCCCCTTGAAACACACTCTGAATTCAAACATCAAGCCTTCTGAAGTATGAGGACATAAGTTTCTGTTCTTCAAAGCCACCCCCTTATGATATTTCTATTACGGCAGCACTAAGTAACTAAGACACCTCTCTTACTTATCCTTCACGCTGCCCTTTTGGGACTTCTTTATTTAGTTTACTAGTCAAATCAACCACACCACACCTGTACAAAATTACAGAGTGAAACAGTGCACTGTGTTAGTGTTCCTGGTCTCACAATCCCTAGAAAAGTAGACTCTCCTCGTGGTTATTCAGGCACAAAGGTTAAGATTTCATGTACCTGAGGTTTCAGGGTCATCTCTTCAGTGCAAGGACCTAAATGGGCTGCGTGGTGTTCTCCGGCTTTGGAGTATCAATAGTGTATTTTCTTTTCCTTCAGTTTTACAACAGAAAGAACAGTGACTATGAGAATGTTGTTGTTGTTATGTGCCATCGAGTCGCTTGTGACTCATAGTGACCCTATATACAAGAGCTCTATATGCTCCTCTATCCTGTGCCAACCTAGCCATCTCAAACGCACTTATTCCCACCACTCCAGTCACAGAATTGATCCATCTCATCGAAGGTCTTCCTCTCCTTCGCCGCCCCTCCACTCTGCCAAACATGATGTCCCTCTCCAAGGACCAGTCCCTCCTTGCAACATGCCCAAAGGATGTCAGATAAAACTTCAGAATCTTTGACTCCAAGGACCATTCCAGCTTCACCTTCTCCAGGACAAACCTGTTTGTTCTCCTAGCAGTCCATGGTATGTTCAACACTCTTCTTCAGCACCACAGCTCAAAGGCATCAATTCTCTTTCTATCAACCCTATTCACTGTCCAACTCTCTGATGCATTGCACATAATTGCGAAGACGATAGCCCGGATCAGGCAAACCTTAGTCTCCAGCCTGATGTCGTTGCTCTTCCGTACTCTTGAGAGGTCCCTCACAGCCGACTTTCCCAATGCAATTTGTCTCTTGATTTCCTGGCTGCTGTTACCAAGAGTGTTGACTGTGGAGCCAAGCAAACTAAAACTGTTAACTATCTCAATCTCTTCACCATCATACTGATGCTGCCAATTGGCCCAGTGGTCAGAATCTTTGTTTTCTTGATGTTGAGCTTCAATCCATATAGGAGGCTGCAGTCCTTGACTTTTTCATCAAGCGCTTCAGGTCCTCCTAAGTTTCAGCAAGCAGGGTTGTGTCATCTGCATAACGCAGATTGTTGATGACTCTTCAACCAATCCTGATGCCACATTCCTCTTCGTACAACCCAGCATCTCAGATGATCTGTTCTGCACACAGATTGAAAAGGTATGGAGACAGAATATATCCCTGATGGACTCCCTTCTTGATTTTGAACGATGTAGTGTCTCCTTGCTCTGTTCTGATGACTGCCTCTTGGTTCAAGTATAGGTTTTGCATTAGCACAATCAAATGTTCTGGGATTCCCATTCTTCTCAGAGTCAACAACAGCTTGTTGTGATCCACACAGTCAAAAGCCTCTGCATAGTCAATGAAGAAGCGCAGCTTTCAGATCTCCAAATTCTAACCCAGGTAACCTCAGGCCACATTGGCCAGGCGCGCACCCTCAAGCATTGCTGGGAAAAGAGTTTTTTTTGGAATCGGGGAGGAGAAAAGCGGAGCTTTCAGACCTCCAAATACTAACCCAGGTAACTTCAGGCCGCATTGGCCAGCACACGTACCCTGAAGCATTGCCGGACTATGAGAATAGACTTTGCAAAAGGGCAAACTCAGATTCACAGTTCCACTTTAATAATGATTCACTGAATGATGTTGGCAAACTGTTTAACTATTAAGATCAACCTTTCTCCAATCTATTATGGTTAAAGATCATCAGCTCAGTCCCAATCTATAGTGACCCTTTGGACAACAAAAAAACACTATTCCAATCATCACTATGTTTGAGCCCATAATTGCAGCTACTGTGTGAATTCATCTCAGTAAGGCTCTTCCTCTTCTGTAAAAGACAAGTCATCCCATATCAACCCATAGTATGGAAATATGTAAGATAACATTCAGAAAACACCTACTTTGGTGTTAGCACACCCAAAAAATAAGTATCTCAATCAGGTAATTAATAAAACTAAAAGAAATACACATTAATAAAACAGGATATATTTTACCTGCCTGGTGTCCCTTCTCCCTTCCTTCTTTTCTGGTAATACAATCCCCATTTTCTCTGGAGAAATTATTCCCCAACCTGCATTCCTAATAGTTAAGACTTGGGGAACACTAAAACCCTGCGTCACACCTTAGCTAGTATGGGGTGGTATCCAGGTATTAGGGATGAGGACATGGCCCACTCCTGGTTAATCACATTATTCCATCCTTCAAATATAGCAGCTGGTCAGAGGAGAGGCATGTGACATACACTGGTCCCAAAACACTCCCTACCAAGATTTAGCTAGAACAAATGGAAAAGAAAAGCTCTTCCTGCCCCCTCCCCCAACCAGAATCACTTGCTTTCATGACAGGCCCTATAAAAAAAAATTATAAAATAAAAAGATGGAGTGCTGGGGTCTCATCATGCAGAGAGACCTTTCTGAGAGTGACAAACACAAAGCAAAACAGAGCTGAACTATGGAGAGACCAAGTCAGGTGTTATTTATTATCTGATACTCTTGACGGAGCAGTGACTGAAGTACCCATCCTCAGGCAATTTTAGTTACATATGCTATGGCAGGCTGACTGCATCAAGGGCTCTCTTTACCCCTGTCCTATAACCATATCCTTGGTGGTGCCTTCCCAATTTGACATTGAGTTCTGCCGTGTGGCTTGCTTTGGCTGATAGAAGGTTAGCAAATATGAATCAGGCAAAAGCCTGAAATAGCGCTTGGGTGTTTCCTCTCCTGCTCACATCTGCCACATCAATTTAGACATGCTCAACCCAGCCTGATGGGATATGAGGAACAAAATAGAGCTATGTTGCTCCAGGCAATACCCAAGTCATGTGAAAAAGCACAGCCAATCAGCAGAACTGTCTAGCCAATCAACAGCTGACTACAAAGTCATGAGAGACAGCCCAGTTGAGGCCCCAGTGGTGCTAAACAAATGCTGCCTGCAATATGGGACCATTTTGTTGAATGAGTGCTAAATATCATTACTGAGTCAACAAACAAACTGATAAATTTACCAAAAGGTGTTTGTTTGTTTCACTGCTACTTGTGGTTTCTGCCTCTTATATCCCAAAGGGTCCTCTTATAGACTATTAAATGTTTTCCATAGTTTCCACTTTCCCTAAAAAAAGCCCTAAGAAGAATTTTCCTACTCTTTCTAAGAAACTTACTTTTGTATATTTATGTTCCTCAAAACTTAATTTT